AGATGAATTCCTGGTCAATGACAGCAAACATTTCACTTGGGGTATAAGAAAGGACAGCAATGAACAGCTTAGAAGTTCAACAACTGACCAGCACAGCATTTTTACCTCTAAGAATGTCCTCTGAGAGCTGTGTCTGCCTCACATTGGCCAGTGAATTTCACTTTATAGGATAAGGAGATGAGGTATTTGCAAGTCAGAGTGTCCACCTCTCTCCTGCCTTGATCGGTACCGTAACACATGAAATTACCTCTGTGCCAGTAATGAGAGCTGACGGCCATCCATAGACATCCTTCCAAGGCTCAAGCCTGGGTCCCAGCTGCCAGCAAGAAGTGTTTGGGGTGCCTGTGTGGTGCAGAGGTTCCTGGCTCACTAAATCTTATCAAGACTGCAGAAGTGGAATGTTTATTACTGAGCACAAAATTGTACAGATGTGAGCACACAGCTGGTAGGGCCAAGCTGCCTGTAAGCACACTCAGTTGGGAGGCAAGCAGGAGCTGCCTGTGCAGATGTAAAGCAGCAGCTGTTGGGAACTTCTGTGTCTTGTAAAGCATTTATATGTCTCATAAAGCAGAAGCAGCTGCTTCAAACTCCATGGGATAATATCAGCCAGGTTAACAGTCCCATCATTGGGCTGGTTTAGGCAGGAGTTGTACAGGACCGCTCAAGGTCTGAACCTTTCCACTAAGAGCCAAGCCAAGTTTCTCTATGTAGACCACAATACAGGTCCACTTGAAGAAATAACTGAGGCACACTTCAAGCATTCAGCAACCATTCAGGTAGGTGTCAGAATGCCAGGTGTCTTCCTGCAGACTGTTGCTGTGTTCAGTATAAACTGATGATGACAGACCATCACAGGAGCACAGTCACTTATTACACTTGATAAAACTGGCAGTCCAAACAGTTCAGAGTCTTTGGCTGTGCTAACTGGAATGTGTTTTGGAGGACAGCACAGAAGATGTTGTGGCAGACAGCTACAGCATAGGTGACCACAGACAGATTTTTCTTTCAATTCTCTTTAAGTAAACTTGGTCTGAAACCTGTTCAATAGTCTTGAATTTTATGTATTTATCACTGATATTGCAGTGATTGTAATTGGGGCCTATTAAATGCCTGATCTTTCAGGATCCTGTCATGTTTATAGCAAAGAAAATTCCTGTCTGCCTTCAGCATACCACTCTTCCGTGTCCTTACGCGCCCTGTTATTCTTTAATAGGTGGATGAATAAAGAAAAGACCCTAAACTACCTTCTCAGTATCATTTAGCTTTCTACACTCTTTCATCATGTTTATTACCACCTTTTTCAAGGTACACAGACCTTTTCAACCTAATGACCAAATAACAGCCAGGAAGCTTTTCTAAAACATGGCTTCAATCCACACTATAAGAATGAACAGTCATCATAGTCAAAGTAAATTGCAGGTGGTGGTATATTGCCTAACATATCCTGATGCAAATGTAAGATAAAGGCCTACTCCAGGGGGTGTAATGCAACATGAAATTCACACTTTGCATATCAAGCTTTATCTTTATTTCAGAAAAGCCTCTAATTATGCTGAAATGTGTCCTTTCAACCTTCCCTACACCTGCCTTAAGGAGCCCCCCTACTTAACTGAAGTCAGTGACTCCCTCCATGTCATTCTCTCCCCACAAAGGATTTTAGACACTGAATCTACATAGCCACAGCTCCAGACCAAACGGACCTCTACCTCCTCAGCCTGTTCCCACCTACCTCTGGCCAGCCTCCAGACAATTTTTGTGGCTTACTTTATGTTCAAGCCATCCAGTGCTACCTCCAGTGCTGGACGGGACTTGTCAGCCTTGGCCTCTCAGAACATACCACTCCACAGAGAACATTTTGTTCTAGAGAAGGCATGGCAGGAAGAAACATCCTTTATAGCAGTCAGGGTTATGGGAGCCAGGCTTCAAAGGGGAGGCCACAATTTCCATTACCAGGGACTGCCCCTGTCCCAGGCACATAGCAGCTACACTTATCCTCTTCTAAGCTCTTTGGTTTAGACCTCAAACAGATCCAAAGGGAAATGCTGAATACCTTCACAGGTGAACTTCCATATACGGCCATGACGCCACAGGCTGTGGCTGGCATGCAGGCATATATCAGCATGTCAGAACTTCCTCAGCAACACGTAACTAGTATACACAAATACAATTACACATGCATTTATTGGGAGAAGGCGGTACAGTGATTCGAACATGTGTCAACAGCTTCCCAGGGTGAGGATCCAAAAAAGCTATTTGGTGCAATAAAGACTGATGCTTAATACAGTGTCTTCCACAAAGTCAGCTTTTTTTGCTTAGGTGAGCTGAGTGGCTCCATTAATGGGAAAACTGGAAGCCTTCAAGCGGGTGAGTAGGAACTGAAATTGCAGGGGTATATTCATGCCACCTTCTGCAGCATCTAATTTCAGCTGCAGTAATTCAGGCTGGTCTCTGTGGGTTCCCTATATAGGCAGTGGAAAGAGAGACGCTGCTCCAGAGGATGATTTAAGAAGAGACAGATTTAATGCCCTGAATGGTCTTCCAGAGGCTTTAGCTCCTATGTTTATAAAGGGACCTTGAGGACACTCTCCTCCTACCAAGCACCCAAACTCCTGATCTCCCTATCACACACTTCTTCTGTGTTTGAAGTTTAACAAAAGCAAGCTGGAAACAACAGGCCACAGATAGGAGACTCTAGTTACTTCTTTAAGCACCTGCTAGCAAGAGGGAAACCACCACCCTAAGAAAGTGAAGAGCAGCAAAGGCATTCAGGGCTGAAGGCAAAGGGTTATGCGTTACTCACACAACAGAGAACACTTCCAGTTCTCCTTCCACAGGGGGCTCACCTCTCCTGCCAGGCTTGGAACAAGATCTGAATCAAAAGCCCTGGAAGGAGCCAAGGCACTTAGCATCCCACAGGTGATGCAAGCATGTTCTACACTTAGGAGTAAGGAACACAACACACTCTATCAACTAGAAACACTAAATTATTTGGAAAAGGCTCTTTAAGCATGGGACCTTCATTTATTTCTCATTACTTTCCATATTGCTGAGAGCAGAGTTTCTTATTAGCCAGATCCAAACGATTATTGGTTAGAGGAACTTTCAGTGGCTTTAGAGAAGGTCCTGCATGGCCAGAAACAGGAAGACAATAGGAAAACACTGCGTGCCTCCCCTTCCAAACCAACATAAAACCAGATAAAGCAGAATCATTGTGGAGACAGTGTTCTCATGGGAGAATGGATAATTGGTACATAAACTCTGAATAATCCCGAAAGATACAGCAAGGCCGTGAGAGGCCCAAGGAAGCTTAAGCAAGCAAGATAAGAAGAAGCTGTAATTCACTGAGTTATGAGAACTGTGGACTGTTGGCAAGCTTTCGAGTTCAAGTTCTCACACCTGTGCTTAACCAATTATGTGTTAGTCGCTAAGGGTCTTCAAGACATGTATCCAATCCCAATATGCCAAATCACTGTAAGTGCCTGTAAGAAATGGTATATAAGGAGTTAAAGCTTTGTAATAAATAGGCATTCGCTGATCACATTGATCGTCCCTGCGTTGTCCGTGACTCCTGCGTCAACAAATCACATTTCAAGAAAGCAGATTTATTGTTTTGCTTAAGACTAAACAGGGCAATTTTTTTTACTCCACCTCCTTTTTGAGCTGTTCAGCTCCAGCAGATAAAGCAAAACACAGAGACTGCGTAGAACCCCAGCTACCAAATAGCTCTTGGCTAGTGAGTTTCTTTGCAAAAGGCACGGGAATGCTAAATGTTTCAGTATTCAGCCTTCATTCCATGGTTGTCTCCTGCTCTTGAATGCAGAGAAAACAATACTGGTACTCTACCGATGTCTAGGAGATTACAGCAGCAAACAAATTTAACCTGAGCTGGTTTGGATTGCCAGTTTTGTGCATAGCTTACATTTTATCACACTAAAATGGCTGAATGCCAGAGATAGGTGAATGATCGCTGGCCACACAAAGTCCCAGTCAGCTCAACAGTGATTCAAAGCACTTTACCAAAAGGTATAAATAGCAGGTATTCATTATTAAGTGACCACCTCTGGGTGACTGGGACAGAAGCAATTTGTTGAGCTCAGCCTCAGCTAGGACCAACGCTATGATGTATGTGTGCTCACCCTCCCACAAGGCCTTTACAAAGGAGGGGGAATGGGCAGAGTGCCTGAAAACAGAAAGGGAACAAGCCCATGGCCCTGCACAGAGACAACAGCCCTCCAGCTGCTTATTTAGCAGCAGTCAGAATGCATCCATTCTGTGAACCTGCCAGCGCACTGGAAAAAAACATGGCCATGAAACCCCTTGCTCAGCAGACGCAGGACACAGGCTTTTCATTTTCTAAGACAATATTATTTTTATATGCCATCTCAGCTAAACTCAGGAGTCCTGATGTGTTCTTACTGCAAATTCTTACTTGTCTGCTTTGTCCAGCTGAAGACTGAGTAAAGATTTGAGCATAAAGATACTGATGGACAGCAGAAGCAGAGAAACAACATTCATCTATTTTGTTAAACCCAAAGACTTCAGAGACACAAAACTTTGCGTTTACAGGCATTTTTTTATTGCCAAGTGAGAGGAAAACCCTCAGACTCCTAACTAGGTTAGCACTATACTAAACCTTTCACGAGCAAATACCTAAGCAAGGGTGATCCTAACTCTGACAGAGTGACAGCACTAAGGATGTAATTCAAAGATAACATGAGTCAAAGAAGGAGCTATCAAAGACTGTGACACAGTCTTCTGGGTTTTAATTGCAGCTGGCTCCTCAGGACTATCCTCCAAAGGAATTTTACACAGGACCAGCCCATTAACAGTAAAAGACCATACACAAAACCCTCAGAAAATAATCATAATGCACACAAACAATATTAACTGCTGAAAGAAGCAGGCATCCCTTTGTTTTCTTTTTGTCCTTTGCACAAATACATAGGGGCAGTCACACATAGATTTATTCCTGACTTCCAAAAAAATTTTAATGCCACTAAGTCCAAAGCCTACACGTGTGTTAGATAGGTATCACTGCAACTTGCTGCATTCTACCAATAGAGCAACTTACCACCTATTATCCCTTGGGAAACCGCTCTTTTCTAACAACCATTGCCTTGTTAAAACAGTGATTTTGGTTTTTCATAGCTGAGTGATACCAGTGCAATGGGAAATGCAAACAGCACCAGAGAAGGTCCTGTGGTGATGATGTTTGCTTCCTGGGAGGTGAAATGGTTTAAAATTCAATGTCAAAGTGTTATATCAGCCAAAAAGAATCATGGAAATAAAACCAGTACTCAAAAGCTCACACAAATACTGTGTATTTTCCACAAACTAGAACTAGCTGCCACAACTGCAGAGATTATTTCCTGTTGTTCATGAGACTCACTTATTCACCATCATATTTTCTGTAATGAAGTTTTGCCTTCCAAGGGAAACTTACAGACTACTGCAGAGCCTTACCCAGGGCCAGCTTTAAACTGGGGTCCAACACAGCTCTGATCTATTGCTGCCTGCCACCTCGTATCAGTACCACTGCAGAAAAAGAAGCAGTCATCTTTCAGCTCAGGGGTGTAACGGTCCAGCCTCTCCCACAGAAAGCCAGGCCTAACACTTTTCACACATGAAGCTTTCCCACGGGCAAGAATGAATCTTGAGAAGCTGTAGAGATAAGTTTATAATGCAATGATGACTCCTGAACAATCAAGAGAGAAAAACACACCATGGACACTTACCGCACCAGGCCCTGGGGCATGCTTGTAGCTGTTTGCTGCTACCAGGGTACACATTAACAAACAGTAATAACAAGGTAATAACTGTGAAGGGGGAAGGAACCCATCTCATCCACTCTTAAACTGAATTAAAGGCACCACAGTACCTTGCATATAACAGAATCTGACTCAGAAGAAACTGGTCCAGCTCTATAAAGCAAACCAGCCCTAAGGCAAACCAGAGCATGCAGTGACTCCTTGTCACGCTTTGTAGGGAGTTATCACCTCAGGTTTTTTAGGTAGCACAGAACTGAAGCTGTCTGCCTGCATTTCTGTCAGATGGGAAAGGGGGACTCTCCAGAGAAGTGGCCTATCTAGTAACAGCGTAGAAATTGTCAGTCAAAACCAGGGATGTGTAAGTAACACGGGCTTCTCTGAAGGTGCATCCTGTAGGATAATTTAAGCATGTCTTGATGGTGTAGAACTAGAGAGTGGAAAAATCTTCACAGTGTAACCTGCTGTCAAACTGCATCTGAAGACGTTTATATGGGGAAAAAAGATGAGAAGACTTACAGCGCAGCAGCCACCAAGTCGATACACCAACCAACCCTGACTGGCTGGTAGCAAGAGAATAGGTCAGCATGCAACAGCCACCCCAGCAGGTTCAGTCTGTATCTTCCTCATCCCTGAAGCAACTCTGCAAAGGGCCATCTGATAGAAATCAAGTTCCATCAGCACAATTCAGAAAAAATGACCCCAGAAGATACAAAGACATGTTGCCGGGGATGGGGGAGGAGCATTAATGTGCTAAAATGCTTATGTTATTTTTGAATGGAAGATAGTTCACATCCCACCATTTCTTTCAGTAAGAACAAGCAGCTGACTGGTGAGAGATGTCCGCAGTGCTCCCCAAACTCCCTCCTGCTCCACATGATGCCATACACAGGAGACTTTGCTCCTCAAAAAAATCGAGGATATTGTCAACAGGTTCTGTATCAACAATGTGTTGTGGCTCAATGAGCTGTGAATGAGCTCATAAGCTGCAACATTTCCAAAGTGAAACATGGTGGCAGGGAGACAGAGGTCTGATTTTGGGTGATAGCTGCATCACTAGCAAGGTCATGCATCTTGTCTCCTCCATAGATGAGAATTTGTTGGAAACTCCACCCAGTATGGTGTAGACAGTGAGTTACTGAGGATATGCTCTCTGCCCAGGGGATTTCTTGTCTTGGAGAAATCCCAAGATAATGCCAATCTTGCCTTTGCCTTCACAGCAAAATATGAATAAATATGGATAAAATATGGATTGTGGCCAAATTTGAGAATAATTATATCTGCTCTGCTCACATAACATTCCACAACTGGGCAACTGGCCTAATGCCATTTCAGTGCAAACCAACTGTAAGTCAGCACCAGTCCCTCATTTAAATTCACTGAACTGCTGACTTACATCTGACAGAGCAGACAGAAAAGACCACAATATACACAATTCCATAAATGCAGGGAAATCGAGACAAAGATGCTCCTTTGAAAAATCTGTCAATCAGCTTATGTTGGGAAGACAGGTCTTGGTGCTTTTGGTGCTGTTTAGAGCCATGTTTCCAACTCACTGCATACATGGAAGAAAGGGTATGAGAATTCAACATAGAGATTTATCTCAGATCCCTCTCAGGCCAGATGAGGGTACAGAGTCCAAAATGGTGCTCCAAAAATAGCTCTCTCAGCTATAGTGGGAATCAAGGCTCCTTGCAACAAGGACGAGACACTATAAATTGATAGGCTTGGGTTAGAGATGGGGTGACTGCAGCTCACTGCTCCTTTGAAGTTACATCGGCTGCACTCTGGCTGTACAGTTGGAGCACAGATGCAGGGAATGGTGAGAAGTGTTCCCCAGCAAGGGCTCCTTCAGAGCACATCAGTGACACCCATAAGCCTGCTGGGGTCATATTTGCTTACTAGAGCCAGGAAGGTGGCTCAGAGACAGCACCCTTTTCCCAGCACTGAAATCCAGCTAGCCATGATTTAGAAAAAGGGTTCCTACTTAGAGCCTACTGAATTTAAACAGATTGCTCAGGCACCTGGACTTAACTAATCTCATTTTTCCTAGCTCTCCTCATGGCAGTGAGTTGGCTCAGCTGCTCTCAAGAGATTTCTGACTGATCCTAGATATTGAAAGGGTAGACGATGGACCACTCATCTCCTCATCCACCCCACTGCCTTTGTGCTTGCCTCTGTCTTCCTGCTGTTTCCCTGACCAGTTCTCCAGGCTCCCTTCAGTCTGTTCCTTCCAACATTCTGCCTGTTCTTGGTACAGATGTCAGCGGTTCACTCTTGCTTCTTTCTGCTTGTGAGACAACTACACGGGACCACACAAAGACCAAGAGACCCCTCTGTCTGAGGATCTCATCCTGACTGCTGGTGCAGCCAAAAGCCATTGCATGCAGTACTACAGGGCAGCTGAGACAGTACTTCTGTCAGCATCCAGAAACATCGTGCTATTTGGAGCATGGTATTTTCTCTAGATTCTGTGTTGTTTATCATTTACCTATGACAACAACGCTGTGAGGTAGTTTAAGACCATATATGGCAATCTCACATATTTCTCATGTAAGTGCTTTCTAGAAATCAACCCTGTTTTTCTGACATCTACCCTTGTTATATGCCTACAATCCCAGATGCTCTGCATCTCAATGAACATAGATCAAGAAAGCAAACCCATTGCAGAAAAACATGATTGAGGATAAAATCGGCACATGCGGTACTGAAAACAGGCATCAGATAAAAGTCTGAAAGACAATGAGAAGGATTCTGACAAATACGTGGAAGAGGAACCAGTTTCCTTGCATGGCACTTGCTTTTGAGAAAAGTTGTCACTAAACCAGGAAAACCTCAGCCATTTCCATTTTAAAACCTGGAACTTATTATGATTTTCACTTACACATAATGGACATTTTGCCATTCACTGTGAAAAGGGCATGATCTTTGAGAAAAAAAAAAACAAACTTAAATGATTTCTATTTTATGCCTCATTGACAGACACACAACACTGGTTCATGAGGAAAACCTACCTAAAGCACCTGAACCTGTCACCTGAATTTCACTGCCTGCATTGACATACAGATACAAAATGAACTTGTGCAATTACAAGAGGATATTGCAGCTCATCTTACATATATAGAATCGTAAAAGCATAGAATAGTTAGGGTTGGAAAGGACCTTAAGATCAGCCAATTCCAATCCCCCTGCCATGGGCAGGGACACCTCACACACCCAAGGCTCTGTCCAACCTGGCCCTGAACACCACCAGGGATGGAGCATTCACAGCTTCCCTGGGCAACCCATTCCAGTGCCTCACCACCCTTACAGTAAAGAACTTCTTCCTTACATCCAATCTAAACTTCCCCTGTTTAAGTTTGAACCCATTACCGCTTGTCCTATCACTACAGTCCCTAATGAAGAGTCCCTCCCCAGCATCCCTATAGCCCCCTTCAGATACTGGAAGGCTGCTATGAGGTCTCCACACAGCCTTCTCTTCTCCAGGCTGAACAGTCCCAAATTTCTCAGCCTGTCTTCATACAGGAGGTGCTCCAGTCCCCTGATCATCCTCATGGCCCTCCTCTGGACTTTTTCCAACAGTTCCATGTCCTTTTTGTGTTGAGGACACCAGAACTGCATACAATACTCCAAGTGAAGTCTCACAAGAGCAGAGTAGAGGGGCAGGATCACCTCCTTTGAGCTGCTGGTCTCGTTTCTTTTGATGCAGCCCAGGATACAAAACCCCAAACAGCCACATCTGAAATGCCTTAGAAATGAAAAAGCCTTAAAGTAGATGTTAATGGAGATTACAGGTGTATATGTTATTACCCTGAACAGCTCAGTATGCAAGAGACTGCTGTAATAGTGCCCCTCACATACACAGTTAGTAGTTTGTTGCTCAGCATTTCCTACCAGCTGATTTACAAGGGTGTTTGGAGGCTTTTGACTCCTGTCATCACAGAAGGGAGCTGACGCACAAGGAAGGAGAATAGCTATGGAAATCAGCTCAATTTTGGCCAGTAAATAAGTTGGATCATTAAAACAGAATAATGGTCTTCAACCATTGCTAGCACTTTTCATCATAAATGTAAAAAACTCACAAGCCATACCTCTTAAAGGTAAGGGACTGCCTTTAAATTAATGATTTTGATTTACTTTCTTATTGGCTTTCTACATTCAGAGCCCATATTGAAAAGAAAATAAACAATTAGTCACACTGGAGAGCTTTGCTACTGAGAGAGCCAAAAAGCTTGCTATCCTGCTGACAGTGAGGTACTCATATAATACTGTCTTCTAGGAGAACGAAATAGTGTCAGCCCTGTGAGAAAATAGTACATGTTGCTTGTACATCATTTGGGCTGTCCATAGCTTGCTGACCTGCTACACTTGTCAGCTGTTTTCTCCTCTTAGCTTAACTAACACACTTAAATTAAGGCTGAAGTCAATTGTTTTCAGTCTGCACTCATCTTCAAGTTTGTTACATCTCCTTCACACCTGAACATACCAGCACTGCCAACACCTGCTGGTTTTTGCCAGCTACACTGGTTTGTCTCTTGCCTCTGCTGGTAAGCCTTGCTGTCATTCAAATGTACATACACTTTGAACATGCTGCTGATGAGTTACACATAAAAATATGTTGAGGCCAAGTGTACATGTAATATTGCTACACTGAAGCCATTAACTTCTGCCACTTTGAGGATATGGTCTAAACCACAGTGGTAAAATGGGGCTGTTTTGACATTCATGAGCTGGCTAATCCACTGGGTAGCCCTCATATGTCAAGAATGTGAGCCTACATGTTCATTAGACGCTCAAAATCACCTGTGTCCTGTCTTCAGCAACAGCCTGTAATAACCACAACAACCTGTAACAACCACGACAACCTATAAACGTGGTCAAGACTCAGAAAGGAGTTCCTCAGAAGAGAAAAACCAAAACACCAAACCAATCAACCAAAACTAATCAAAACCCGTGCCCAACACTGCTGTTGGTAGCCCAATCCTTGCCCAAATAAGCCTGAGCCAAAAATCAAAGAACCTACATGCCCTTCAGATGTAGATTTCTAAGACCCATCTAAAATAACAGCCATTTCATCTGTTTTCTGTAACTATATAGGGTGCTTTCTAGTTAACACATTTAGTATTGTTTAAGGATAATTCTGGGATTTTTAATGGCTTGTAAATCAAAAGAGAACGGGTTGCTATGTAGCAATGCCTTCTTTCGCACTATGGCTCTAACCAGAGCTAGGTCATTCTGCATGCCCAGAGGTTAATGTTAAAGGAAGTAGTAGTGATGCAGGAGACATGGACATTTGAGATGTTTAGAAGAGTATCTCAGTGCCTCTGAAAAAATCTGAGAGGTACTACAGCCCAGGGAGGAAAGAGAGACTACCGCATAAGGGTTGTCATAATGGTTAACACCTAGCATGGGGAGGCCATGCTCAGCAAATTCCTTTCACTGTCAGCAGAGACACATGGAGACAACATGAAGCAGGAATTAATTCAGACACTGTCAGAACCACAGGGAACATAGACCCTCAGGCTGTCTGCTGCACAGCCAGATTACAGACCCCGATGGGGTCTTCACAAGGGGGTCCCTAATATGTTTGGGGGCTGCCCTGGAGCCAAAATGCAGTCCTGGCTCACTCAACTCTAACACAGACAAGAGCTCTGCAGTATACTGTGGAAGAGTCGGGCAGTCTGGCTTTAATAACAGTTCATTCTCTGCTCAGCTACAGCTTTAACTTAGCTAACTAACCACAGATTTTTTCTTTTACTAACTGTTGAACATTTAGAAGGCAGCAGAAAGCATGTATTATTCATTCAGCTACTCTCATAATGCCCACCTTATGAAACCACAGCCACAAACAATTTTCATGTAAAGCCTGATCGGCAAATTCAGCCAGTAAAGCTCCTTCTGTTTGATAATGCAGTACTAGGGGGTATTTCAGCTATAACGGGCTAAGATAAACGCAGATTCACTGAATTAAAAACACTGCAGAGAAATGTGCCAATTCAGTTTCATGTCAGAATGAGAAAAAGTAAAAGCATTCTGTGAAGATAAATTGTAATGGTTTGATTTCCTGTCTTCAGTTTGCTTGGGGTTTTTATATACTTCACAGAAATATTTGAATGAGTTGGCATTGCCCTGACAATAGCAGAAATGAACGCCCTTTGGCATTAGTGAAATAATCTGGTAGGTCTAAAGATCACTTTAAATTCATTCTATATTTCCAATCTTCAAATATCTGATTCAGTAGTGAACTTAAAATAAAGCATGCTTATTTTTCAGGATGGCAACTATCTAGTTTCTGATCAGCAGTATTGCCAAACACAGCAGAGAGGAGAGCAAGCTGAAGTTTGAGGATTTATCTGCTCTTTGATTAGAACAAGTTTCTCCCCCATCCACTAAGCTGGGAAGACAGGAAAAGCTTCCATTGCCAGGAGCCATGTTGTAGTGTACATATTTTTGAAACTAAAAGAAAAAGAGGAAAAAAGTGCATTATCTTTCAGATATACATTCTGCATTACACTATACAATATATGGTACAGCTTATAGCACCACTAAAAGTTACATTCAGGAACCACATTGTAAAACTCTAAAATGAGAAATAAAAAGCTAAATTGTTTCCCTATACTCAATTTTCTTAAGAATTATGAATAAATTTTATGAAGGACATAGATGTAGACCATAAGAGGTTCCCCTGCTATCCTCCATTCCCAATCCAGAAAGAGTGTCTGAACCTCCAAACCACGGTTTTTGCGAGAACCTTTCTGAGTCATCCTAACACACCACGATTCCTTTTTCCATTTCCATAAGAAGGCTGCGCCCTCTCCTGACAGTTCAGGACTCAGCAGCAGTGACTGATAAAGCTGCTTTACTGCAGCCGACAAGTTAGAACTGGACCTAGAGTTACCAAGACCAGTCCTGCTTGACTTAAAACGTTTATTGCACTATGCAGAGAGGCTTCACAAGGAGATGGATATCTCAAAGTTACAATGCTTCTTCACCATGCTGTAAGAAACGAAATTGCTCGGGAAGTATGCATGTATAGGAAGAAAACAGCCCCTACCATATGTTTGAAAAAGGACTGAACACCACTCTAGAATAATCTCCAAATAACACATACAAACATTACAAGCCATGCAATTCCATAAAGGAAACTTTCATATGTTAAAAATATAACCTTGAAATTAGTGCTGTATCGCATGGATTCAATTTCACAGAACTACTAGAAAATATGGTTAATGCTATTATGAAGAGTCAGCCTGCCTTCATAAGCAAATGTAATTTCCTTTGATCAGCAAAGCTTACACAAGAGTGACTAAAGAAATCCCCACACATCTTGTCCATCATTCACACAATGCCCAAGTGAAGATCACCTTCATTTAATTTATGTGGAACATTGACCTCTCATCTGATCCTGCATTCAAGTTAAATTTTAGAGACTCACAGATTCCTACTGATCAAAGCTTCTAGTCCAGAAACAACTGAATACCACCAAGAAAGAAAAGGAAATTTCCCTCTGGTCAAACTGGCAGGGTCCATTTGGAGGGATTTTCTGCCTTTCTTTGTAGCTTAGGATATGAGTCACTTCCTTAAATCATCTGGGAATTTTATTTAACAAATTTCCTTCTATTCTAGGGCATAATTACTGACACTGTTGATTTTTCTGGCTCTCTTCTTGTGGTACATGGTTGTGCTTGTGGCTTTGGTCTTTTCCACAGAAGGCCTTTATACTTCTCTTTAGGGTGCTCAGGCTCAGATTGCTGTCTGGGGAGGTTAAAGGCAGTGTGTTTATTTCATACACTTATTCAAATCATTGATACAACAGCTGTGTAAGTGAAGATAATGATTAAATTACTTCCTCTAATTATAATATTTACAAAGTTGCCCTGAGAGTGATTAACACTTATGGTCAATGACTATCAAGTAAACACAGCTGGAATAGGAAATGATTCTCCATGGACTAACACCACACACCCGTGCGTATTTTGGGCCCCTAAAACTTAATGGCTACTGCCACATACGGGAAGAAAGAATCTAGTCTGTTGCTTTACAACAAAGTATCTCACTGCTTTTACAGATTCACCGCTGCATCCCTGCAATGCAAAAGACGTTATTCTACTCTACGTGAAGGTAAAACACCTCTGACTGCAAAACTGCGCTATCCTCCGGTTTCCTCACAGCTGCTCCTTCAGCCCTGCCAGTGCTAAGTTGAAATACAGAAAACAGCCACCAGGCGGCGAAATGTAACTAACACAGCCTCATTAATAGCCACCTATTATTATATTCAGCTACTTTAACTGGATTCCTACCGTAACAGAAGCTTTGTATTAACAATGTAATCTCCCCATGCTTCACAATGGCTTTGCTTATTAAATTAGTAGATGAATTATAATTACCCTTAAATGCATTTGAGTAATTTTTATTCCACAAGCCTACCTCAACCATTTAAAGTTCGACAAATAGCCTTGTTTTAAGCCTTCCTCAGCCAAACTACTGTGTGCTTAAATGGCTGTTTAAACCTCTGTAGAAGCAAAGCTTTAATATTACACTTTGATCTCTATTTTATTATTGCAATTTCCCAGCACGTTCTAACTACTGTACAGTGTAACTGCAGTACAGTGTTCAGTTCAGGGCTGTCAAAGGATGAATGGCAGACTTTGCACTTTATTTTAAAAGACATTATGCATTTTTAAAGACCTAATGTACCTGTAGTTCTGGCAATATTCAGCAGTAAACAAGCATCAGAAAACAACAAAGTATTTTAAAGCCAGAAGCACACATATGTTATTATATCTAATTATTTTGTGGTTTTGCTGTAAATGTTCTTCTATGAGCTCAAACTGTTCTCTACTTTTGCTCCTTGGGAAAAGGGTAAAAAAAGACAGGTATTTTTAAAAATACTTTAGAGTATTTCCCTGTATGCCTTTTTGACAGTCTTCTCCTTTATAATAACATTTGCACAACCAACAAGCAAACAAAACTGTAAAACGCCAGTTCAAGTAAAGCATACCTTGACTGGTGTTGCACCTACAGGGTGCCTACGTACACACCTTCCCTGTGAAGCGTAGGCACATAGGAACGTCTTTTCCAGAAACAAATGGGTACCAAGCTACTCTTTGAACTCCGGCAGACCCTGATGCCTCCAAGCGAAGCTCAGGGACTCCACCGGGACTACGCGATTTGCACACTCTTCAAGTTGAAGGAACATACCCTGCGGTCAGGAGACATAAAAGGTGGAACAGTGGTAGGGCAGCCTATTCCAGAGATGGGTTTGGAGACAGGGCAGGGGAATCATACATATGGGATCAGAGTACTCTCCCCTCCAACTTCAAACGGGTGAAACTCTGCAATAAACCATTTTCTATGAAGAAACACCAGCCTAACCCTCAGGACTTGGAAATCAACCCTTCCCACAGCGAGGTCATAAGCACGATCGTATTCACGGCAGAGAAGCTCCACTGGGGCCACTGCCCCGGTACTACCGGTACCACATTTGACCCGCGAGGCGCAGCCCCTCCGCCTGTTCTCCTCCCGCACCGCCTGCGAGAAGGGATTCGCACCAAGCTCCCTATTTCGATCCTGGATAGGTATTTTTTGTGTCACCGCCTGCTTTCAGCACCTCTCTGCGGGCAAACGCTCTTACGGCTCCGAAATCCCTCATGGGATCCCTGACAGGATCCCTAGCACCGAGTGCAGGGCATCACCAAGCGCAGCCTATACAACACCCCTGAAGGGTAAATAAAACAACAGAGCTATAAAAAACCGAAACCACCTTATTTTGCCTACATCAGGGCACGGAAAACTCCACAAACTGGCGCTACTCTCTTCCTCCCGACCTCAACATGGCGACCGCAGCGTCCCCCACGGCCTCGCCCAAGATGTCGGCCCCACCGCGGTGGAAGCGGCTTGCCAGCACTTAAGATGGAGGCGGCGCGGTTCCCCCGCTGTGTAACCCCACCTGGAGCGGGGAAGGTACCGCCGCTCGGTAGTTTATTTATTTACTGAACCGCTAAGGGAAGTGACGCTGCTCCGGACGCGGCAGCGTGGTGCGGGGCCTGCCGGGAGGCCAAGTGGGCGGTGGCGGGGCAGGAGGCGGTGGCCGCCGGGAGGGGGCCGGGCCGCAACGACGCGATTCCTGTCGCCGTGACATGGGTTCCCCCTCGATGGCGGTTGCCGCGGGAGGCCTCAGATAACCGGCCGGGTCCCCGTTCCCCTTCCCTCCCCCTCCTCGCCCGCCGCCATGCACGCCCGGGCTCCGCCGCCCCCTAAGCAGCCCGCAGGTAAGACCCGGTGCCGCCGCTGCCGTGTGGGAGAGGTGGCTCGTCTCCTCCAGGCCTGGCCGGGGATGGGCAACCCCTGCCCCACCGTGGCGGGTGGGGACCCCCTGGGGCTTCATCCCCGGGGCCTGCAGCGGCTGGGGCCTGTTGGGACACCACGGTTTCCGACCCTCCATCCCCGGGGGGGGGCGGTGGGGCCGGGCCGCCCTGCCCGGCGGGAGGGCTGGGCAAGGTGGGGGTGAAGCCTCGCCGCGCTTCCCCTTACTGAGGCGCCTCTCGTCGGTGCGTCCCGCCGCGGTTGGAGCGAGGGGCCCGGCCGCTGCAGTGCTGGCCTCGGGGACCGGAGGCTTTGTCCTTTGGCGGCGGGCCGCGGGGGTCGAGCGGGCGGGTTCCCGTAGCGGCTCCGGGAGGGGTGGCAGCCGGAGCCCCGCGGTTCTGTGGGGTTCAGTGGGGCCGCAGCTGGAGGAGAGGGCTCCGTGATGTGGTGCAAGAAGTTGTGCTGTCCTGGGTGTTTGCTTTTCCTAATAAGCGTATTTTTCTAAGGGGCGTGAAGCAGGTCAGTTGCTAAATGCATCTGAAGATGACACACGGAACTGGAGTCATGATTTTATGTTTTTATAAGTAGTACAGTTCTGAAATGGGGCAAAGTTGCTGAAATGCTTTCTGAGTCCTGACACTTCAGTTTGCTATTGTGAGTGGCTACCTGATGAACCAAAACGTTCATTTTCCTTAAAGACAATTCCTTAAACCAAGGGTTAAACCTTGGGATTCCCTCACAGTGTCTGTAAGTTGGCTTTTTGATGGTGTCAGCCCTTTCCTTCCAGCTTCAGCACAGAAATTGAAATCAGAAGTCTGCTCCTTTTAAAGCCAACATCTGTTTGTAAATGGAATGAATAGAAGCAGCAGCGTTGACAAGAGCTGTAGTGCATTGATCATATAAGTTTTGTTTTCATGAATGTTTTGCATGAAGTGTAATGTGCTTCATCAGGACTATTTTTTTCCAGCTGTTGAGTCCATGGTAAAGTGAGTTTGATGGATGCTGCTTTTTAACTGCTCTGGTCCTTGGAGGTTGAACAAAATTAAAAGTATTTCCTTTTTGTTTTATTCTCTGGACAAATGAACCAGACTTGGAAAACCAATTAGCCTACTTTAAGGATAAAAATGTTAGGTTGTGTTGTCGGTGCACACAGTGCATGTTCCCACAGCCAACATGGAGGTAGCAACTCCTCGTGATGAAGTTGGAACTGTACCTGGAGGAATATAACATTAATTGGGAGGGCCAGGAGAGGAGATGAAGTACCTGTGGCCACTGATAGGTTGTGGGTTTTTTTCAAACATATTGGTGAAAATAAATAGGATAAATTTGAGGATATGGTAATTTAAATGTAAAAATACGAATTAGCACTATAATAAAGCGACTTCGGAAAAGGCAGTGTGGCTATGGTGTTCCCATTCCACGTAGTGTTTGCGTAAACTACGTGTTGTGTGACCTTCTGAGGTCATGTGAAAGTATGACCTCTTCTTTTTACTTCCTTAATTTGTTTATAAGCAAGCAGTTGAAGGAGCTCAGCCTTGGCAGATCTGTTTGTGCTCTCTGATTATTATTTTTTAATTTTATTCTTAGTTTGGCTTTATTTTTTTGTTTACATCATTTCGCTAGAATGGGTTGCCCAGGGATGTTGTGAATGCTCCATCCCTGGCAGTGTTCAAGGCCAGGTTGGGCAGAGCCTTAGGTGGCATGGTTTAGTGTGAGGTGTCCCTGCCCATGGCAGGGGGGTTGGAACTGGATGGTCTTAAGGTCCTTTCCAACCGCAACTGTTCCGTGATTCCATGGTTTCACTTAACAAAGGATTTAATAGTCTGTAAAATTCAGAGTTATACCCATTAAATTCTATGTGTGCTGCGTATTTCTGTTGATGAAGACAGCATGTGAACTTACATTTATACTTGAAAATTTCTTTAGTAACTTACTAAGTTAATATAAGCATTTTAACACCCTGATTACATAAAATGATATCCTGAAACTTTCAGTACTTTGAGAAGACTTGTCTTTCACAGTGGAAATAATAGAGCAGCCTAGATGGACTTCACTCAACTCTTTGCCCTTTCCTCTTGAAATATTCATAGAGCTCTCCTTGCAGGTATCTAGTGGTATTAGTTTGAAACCCAGTGGTGAAGAAGCTGATGCTGGATCTGGTTGTTCTCACTACACTCAGCAGCATAATATTCCTTCAGAAACTCATTATCTTTTTTGCCAAAATGCTCGATCCTTTCTGTGCTATTGTATTGTTTGACAGTTTAAGCTACGTCTTTGTGAGCATGTCAGTGCGATGACATGCTAACCCTTTCATGGGAATGCAAAATACTCATAACTTCTCTGGATAGTCCCCTTAAGAGAAGTGTCTTAGATCCCACTCATTGCTGGGTTTCACAAGTTTTGTCTGTTAATTTTATTTTTCCTTTGTGCAGAAACCACAGTGTAAGCAGCTCTTATGCACACAAAAAAAGGCCTTGAAATGTGCCTTATTTGAAAACTGACAGTCTCATTTCCAGTATACTCTCTTCCATGCTAATGCCTATAGCAATGAAAGTTTTGGATTGGTACTGTGAGGAAAGTTTCTGCGTTGGTACCAGTTGCAAGGTGACGTAATGAGTCTGCTTCTGTATGGCAAGTAATTTGGGGTTTTCAAGCCCAAGAGTGCTGTTTTGCAAGAACCACAGGAAAGGCAAAACTTGTCTTTGCTTTAATACGTTTGAAAGTAGGTGCCAGGGGGAAGGAAATGTGAAACTTGAAGTTCATATGTCTATTGAAAAGTGGCGGAGAATAATGAAGTATTAGGTGTCCTTCTTGTATTGTGTTTATTACGAGATAATGCCTGTAGGTGGGATAA